TTTTTTTAATCTCGGACATATATAATACTAGAAAAGATAAATCAATAGAAACAAATTATATTTAAACAGAAATTTTTTATATCAATTATTCAAATATTTATATATGAACAAAAACAAAAATAAAAATTATATTACATAAATAAAAAATAGTTTCCGTACGGACGCAGGAGGTAAAATCTAGTTACAATATTAAAGATTTAAAATTGATCTTTCGCCCAATTTTATTATAATTTTCTTATAATCCAGCATCTTTTGTAGTCCCATAAATGATCAAAAACAAAAGAAAAAAATTGCTAGTTAGATGCTAAGGGCTAACCAAATCATTTTCGTGTGTAATATTCTTTGGAGCAGTAATAAATTTTGATGTTAATCTAAAACTTAAAACGTTTGAGAAAAAAAATTCAAAACTTAAAACGTTGAAAGTGTATTTTTGTTATTATTTGTTTGTATTATTTATTAACTTTTGTTAAATATATTTTTGTTATTTAATTTTTTGGATTAAGTCATGTTCATCTAGATGTTTCAAATTGAACCAGTTGAATGAATTTCAAATTTCTTCATAAATTATAAGTCATCCAGATGATTTATCTTGATGATCCATTAAGATGAGTTGATTAATGTAATTAAACGAACATCATTTGACTGCTTTATCTAGAAAATCCATCCAGATGAACAAACGAACAGGCTTTAACATTTAAATTCTTTATATTGTTTTTGTTGATAAAAAGAAAGTAATCGATGAAGGGACGACTAAATGGAAATAATGTAATCGATGTCGTTTCTTCTTGGGAATAATAAAACGAACAACAAAACGTATCGGTCGCTATTTTCATCCGTTACTAGCTATGAAATGAACCTGACAAACGGCTATACATATCAAACACATATGGTTCTCAACTCAGATCACTACAATGATAAGCTCTATTAATGTAAGTTTATTATTTTTCAAACTCAAAGATGCAAATTATAACACAGTTTGTTTGGTTGAAAAATATTTTACATTTTTTAAAAAAATACAACATTATCAAATAATGCATCAATATTGTTGGAGTATAATCGCCCATCCAAGTTCACACATTATTATTAAACAAAACGACAATATAAATACTATAGCATGAACAGCGGCAGAACATATAGATATAATCAATTGAAAGACAAACGAAAAAAGATTGCAAGATGTGAATAGCACGAACGGAAACTTGTCTGTTGACATCTTAACAAAAATCAACCAAAAAATTATTCTTGAACATTTTTTATGTTTATTTTGATACAAAAGATACAATCATCTATTTCTACTCAGATAGATGGTCAACATCACGTTCATCAAAGGGCCAATAAGAGATACACGTGGTAAGTCAATATCGGTTATTCGGTTCGGCTTCTGTACACAAAAGTCTAAAGGTACAACGTGAGAAGCTCTAACAAAACGTGAAGGCCACAACTATTATCAAAACACACACGAATGTCACGAACACAAATAGAGACAAAGACAAAGATTGTTCAGACAAGTTTGTACCTATTTGATCCTCTACATTCCTCTCTCTCACCAAACTCAACAGACACAATCTCTCTCTCTCTCCCTCTACATATATAGAGTATAACTCACATCACAATTCTGAACAAAGAATATTTCTTGGGAGAGAAACTAAAACTAATATCTGATCGAGAGTAATGAAGAAGTTTGGTGGGTCTTTGTTCGGCGTAAGCCTATTACTGACAGTTCTTCTCGCGACAGCCACCGCGGCAGCAGAGTACTATAATTACGGAAATGCCCTTGACAAGACCTTCTTGTTCTTTGAGGCTCAACGGTCAGGGAAGTTGCCGGCTACTCAACGTGTAAAATGGCGTAGCCATTCTGGTCTCAAGGATGGTCTTGCTCAAGGCGTAAGTCCATGCATATACACACTAACATATCAATTCTTATCTTAGACCGATTTATACAAGCTATATATGTCCAAAAATGATGATTCCCGTTAAATATCATCCAAATTATCAGTTGCAAAATCAAAATTAGCACATGTTCATGATGTATAGCCTACTTGTTTGTATTTGTGTAGTCATTGTGTCACTACCTAGATTCACACATTAAATACGGGTTATAGACCAAAAGAATAGCACTTAAGTTTATAACCTTAGATATATGTCACTGTATTACTTTTTTTTTTATTAAAGCAAGGATAATTTTCATATATATAAAGATTTGCTACATTTTGTAAGAAAAATCGAAGCGCTAATTACAATTACACTTTTTCAGTTTATCATTTTATATAATGATATTGAGGTTTGTATATATCTATGAACAGGTGAGCTTGGAAGGAGGGTATTATGATGCAGGAGACCATGTGAAATTCGGTTTACCAATGGCTTTTGCAGTGACAATGCTATCGTGGGCCGCGGTCGATAACCGAAAAGAGCTATCCGGTTCGAACCAGATGCAACAAACATTGTCGTCAATCAAATGGGGTACTGATTACTTCATCAAGGCTCATCCTCAGCCTAATGTTCTATGGGGTCAAGTTGGAGATGGAGAATCAGACCATTACTGTTGGATGCGAGCCGAAGACATGACCACTTCAAGAACAGCTTATAAGCTTGACCAGTACCATCCTGGTTCAGACTTAGCAGGTGAAACCGCTGCTGCATTAGCCGCTGCTTCTTTGGCTTTCAAGCCATTTAACTCCTCTTACTCTGCTATCCTCTTATCTCATGCCAAAGAGGTTTGTTTTTCTTCTTCCTCTTTTATTGTTTTTCAAATTTTAGGGTCTATGGTTTTGGCCTTTGGGAGTATTTGGTTCGATTTCGGTTTGGTTTGGTTCGGTTTTTTCCTTCCTCTTTTTTTTTTTTCTTTATTTAAGGCTCAATGCCTCAATGGTTTCCAAAATAAATTGGTTAATTTTGGTCAATAGTACCGAGTAGGTTTACATACAACTTTTAGTTCACTTTTGGTTAATGAATCCGGTTCAGTTTATATCTCCACGTCTAGTTTTGTGTGATGAATCCGGTTTGGTTTAGATTCTGAACATTTGAAACTTGGTTAATGATTGTGTTTTTCAGCTCTTCTCATTTGCTGACAAGTACAGAGGATTATACACTGATTCAATCCCAAATGCAAAAGCTTTCTACATGTCATCTGGTTACTCGGTATAAGATCTCTCCATTTTGGTTCTCTGAGAATCTCTAACTCTCTTCTTTCATTGAATCTTTTCTCAATACAAAATTGTCTCTAATGTATAATATTTTCTTGAAGGATGAGCTTCTTTGGGCTGCGGCTTGGCTACACCGCGCAACTGGTGATCAGTATTACTTGAAATACGCTGTAGACAATGCTGGTTACATGGGTGGAACTGGCTGGGGAATGAAAGAATTCTCTTGGGATAACAAATATGCCGGTGTTCAAATCCTTCTAAGCAAGGTATAATAAACTTATAACTTGGTTTGTTGAAGAATGTTTTTCTGCTGTTTCCTAAACTAATCTTGATTCTTGTTTGTGTATAGATCTTGTTAGAAGGGAAAGGTGGTGTGTATACTTCGACATTGAAGCAGTATCAGATGAAAGCTAATTACTTCACTTGTGCTTGTCTTAAAAAGAATGGTGGCTACAACATTCAAACAACTCCTGGTAATTGAGTTAATTAGTACACATCTAAACCAAAATCTAATTACTTGAAATTGGGTTAGTGTTAACATTGTGTTGATTTTGTTTAATGGTGGAAACTTCAGGTGGTTTGATGTATGTTCGAGAGTGGAACAATCTACAATATGCATCAGCTGCTGCGTTTCTTCTTGCAGTTTATTCTGATTATCTCTCTGCAGCAAACACTAAACTCAACTGTCCTGATGGTTGGGTTCCACCTCAAGCACTTCTTGACTTTGCTAGATCTCAGGTAACCAAATCTTTCAAGAAACCAAAAACCATTTTCTTGTTGATTCAAATGAAGTAACAGAGTCTTTTTTTTGTTCCCTTGCAGGCTGATTACATTCTTGGAAAGAATAGTCAAGGAATGAGTTACTTAGTTGGATATGGACCAAAATATCCAATCCGAGTTCACCATAGAGGCGCTTCGATCGCTTCAATCTTTGTTCAACGTTCTTCTGTGAATTGTGTTCAAGGATTTGATTCTTGGTATAGAAGATCTCAAGCTGATCCTAATGTTATCCATGGTGCTCTTGTTGGTGGACCAGATCACAATGATTACTATTCTGATGACCGGACAAACTACGAACAATCAGAACCAACTTTGTCTGGAACAGCTCCACTCGTTGGTCTATTTTCTAAACTCTCTGGGAAATTAGGTAACTGGAGGATAAACCTTGTGCTTGTGCTCAAACTACTCTTAGTTCATGAATCATCATCAAGTAATGTGATGAACTTTTGTAGGATCTTATGGAGGAGGATATTCTAAGCCTTACCAAACAACAAAACCACCAGGTACATTAAATGTCATTTACTTACAGCTGTTTCTCTGTCTGCAACTTCTCTGCAGTGTCTGATCCTCATTTTCTGAAATTTTCACAGCTTCATCTTACAAAGCAACACCAACAACATACAGTCCGAAACAATCAGGTGCACCGATCGAGTTTCTTCATTCGATAACTGCAAATTGGATGGCCTGGAACACGAGGTACTATAGACACAAAGTGATCATCAAGAACAACTCTCAGAAACCAATATCGGATCTCAAGCTTAAGATTGAAGATCTCTCAGGACCAATATGGGGTCTAAACCCAACAGGGCAAAAGAATACTTACCAGCTTCCTCAGTGGCAAAAGACTTTGAGAGCAGGACAAGCTTATGACTTTGTCTATGTACAAGGAGGTCCTCAAGCTAAAGTCTCCGTATTAAGTTACAATTAATCCTCCTTTTAACTTTCCGCTTTCTTTTTGTTTAAGCTTTTGAGGTTTTGAGTGAAAGCTTGTGAAAGTAGCCAAACCAAATTGAGACTAAATCCGGGAAATGTAAATTTGTGTCCATTGGGAGATGCGGCTATTACTTGGGTAACAACGAAGATGCAATATGATTTAACACCACCAAAAGCACTCAAAACTGAGCTTTACTTTAACATTCAGACAAAAATTTAAGGTTCAGAGACATAGCTTAACTAGAACAAAAAAAAAAAAAAACAGAAACAATAAGAAGATGCGAAGTAGTATCACAAGCTAAGAGCATAATAAGAAGAGCCTTTTCTTCTACAGAAGCTTCTACTCGTCGTTAAAGGTAGTCTTCTTGCCTGCCAAAATATATCAAGAATTAGTGAGTTGGTTACTTTTCCTTAACAAGATTCAAGAACCAAAATCAATGACAAAGTAACGTACCTGAGGGAGTGAAACTAGGTCGGTTTCCACCAAACCGACCACCACCGTCTCTTCCTCTACCACCACGACGGCCACCACCGTCTCTTCCTCTACCTCCTCTCCTTCCACCACTGAATCCACCACTCCTTCCACCACTGAATCCGCCACTCCTTCCACCACTTCTTCCACCACCGAATCCACCACTGTTTTCCCTCGGTTTAGCCTCATCAACAACAAGATTCCATCCTCCCATGTCAGTAAGTTCAAACGCCTTCTCCGCAGTTTCTTGAAATTGAATGTAAGCAATTCTACATAAAAAGAAGAAACATGTACATTCAGTTAGCATCTGAGAAGATTCAAAAAAAATGGTCACAAGGTGGAGGAAATCACAAACCCTTTGGAAGCACCGGTCTCACGGTCCATGGGAACAGAAACCCTTGTGATCTCTCCACATGATGCAAAATGTTCACTCAATGCGCTCTTGATATCTTCCTCAGGAAGAGAAGAGTCAAATCCCTTGACGAAAATAGTTTGACCGCCATCACCACCACCGCTTCTGAAGTTACCACCGGCGTTTCTGTAATAGTTTGCAGAAGAGAATACTATAAACACATGAACACAGTACACAAACAAGTCTACAAGTCGTTAAAAACAAAAAAAAAAAATCTACCCGCTTTGTGGAGTGTATGCAGGCCTCTCGCCCCTCTCTTGAGCGACATCAAGACGAATATCACGACCGAGCAAAGGTCTACCATGAAACTCCAGCGCCTAAAGAACAAAAGATTTAATCAGCAATCATACTTTCTAATGTAAACTTCAATGACATTCATCATAACGAAAAACTATTCTCACCTTCTGTGCTTCTTCAGCACTAGCAAATTCAACATGGCCAAAGCCCCTGAAACTACCATCCTCTTTTGACATAGCAAACCTAACATCAACAACTTCGCCAGCCTCTTTGAAGAAATTTTCACTGCAAATGGAGGATAAAATATAATCAGGTCATGAAAAACTTTCACAGAGAGAGAGAGAGAACGTTGCTACTTACACATCTGATCTTTCAACTTGGAATGAGAGATTGGCAACAAAGAGTGTCTTGGATCCTCCTGTAGCAGGAGTTGATGGTGTCTTTGGCTGAAAGACAAACAATATACACGAATTAAATTCATAGCATGATACACAAAGCAATTAGAGCAACTACAATGACCAGAAGTTGATCTTACCTGTTTTGCAGATTTCTGCTCAGCGTCCACCATTTCTACATCAGAGTTCTGTTTTTACAACAAAATTGTGTAACTTAATCAGCACACAGCAAGTAAAAAAACAATATTCAATATTTTGGAATCACACAGAAGTTTGAAGAAGCTATAATAGCAATTGCTCAAAATAAAAGAAAGAAAGCATCCACACCTTTTTCTTCGGGGTTTCTTTCTCATCTTCACTCTCTGATTCATCATCGCTAGACTCATCACTACTGCTCTCCTTTTTAGAGGATTTGGTATCTGCTTTAGCCTTTTTCGCTGCAGGTTTTTCATCCTCACTTTCCTGCAAAAATAACCCATTAAAACACATGGTCAATGACCGTTAATCAACCATAGGACATCATATGCTGCTTGACGGGGATATCATTAGAGTGCAGAATCTAAACCTCATCAGAATCTTCCTCAGATGAATCTGAACTGCTTGCAGCCTTGGTAGTAGCTGCCTTTTTAGCAGCAGGTTTCTATATTCATAAAAAAGAAAGTAATTAGAGACCCATTTGAAATATCTCCAACAAATACAACAGCTAGTAAATGACACACAGCAAACAGAAAACAGAAGTTAATACAAATGAGAACAAATTTTCACCTTCTCATCCTCAGATTCATCTTCTGATTCATCCTCTGAGGATGAATCTTCAGCAGCTGGCTTAGCTTTCGTTGCAGGTTCCTATTTGTAGGTTCCAAACACGCATAAGTCCACTAATTCGGAAACATAGACGAAACAGTAAAAAATACTTATAAGATTGTGCTTACCTCATCAGACGATTCTTCCTCAGATGAGGAGCTCTCTGCCTTGGCCTTCACAGAGCCATTTTTGGCAGCTGCAGCTGGCTTCTTGGTAGGAGCTACTTCCTGAAATAAATGGTGAGAACAATTTCTGTAAGCATAACTCCAAGAATAATAGGCTAAATTGCACATAACCATCAAAAACTAACCTCGTCTGAAGATTCTTCCTCAGAAGATGAGTCATCTTTTGGTTTCTTTGCAACAGTTCCGTTGGTAGCAGCAACAGCCTTCTTTGGTGCAGGTTCCTGCATAAAAAGAATTGAACTTTTCAGTACAATGCTTTACATGGAACATAATTGACAACACAGTAATAAAAAGCAACAAAGATCTTACATCATCTGAAGAAGAAGCTTCCTCAGATGAGTCATCACTGCTAGAAGCGGCCTTAGCAGGAGCCTTCTTAGCAGGAACTTTCTTAGCCTGAAATGATTCCAAGATGACAAACAAGAACAGGGTACATCGATTAAGACTCAGTGAACATAAACAATACATAAGTACGAAGGAATATGCAGCAGACACAGCAAATAGGTACCCTTACATCTAAGTTTATTCAAACAACAAATCAACAATAAGATTTCTAAAACATTCAAAGTTATACCTTCTCCTCTTCGTCAGAATCTGAGGAATCCGATGAATCGGAGCTCTCCACCTTCTTAGGCACCTTCTTCTCAGCTTTTTCCTTTTGAACGGCAGCAATCACGTCTTTCTTCTGCTTCTTTAGGTTCACTTTGGTATCCAAATCATCTTCAGGCTCTCTCTTACCTGAATAGAGAAGAAAAAGCATAAAAGGTTAAAGTCAAACGACAGTTAACGTTCTATAAATACAAAGTGTCTTCAAAAACCAAGATTCAGCAATCAATAAACCTCAAGTAGTATAACTAAGCACGATGACAGTGTTCTATAACTGATATATGCTAATAACAATGATAAAGATAACAATTAGTTGATGGGTTAACCAAATTAAATAACTTTATCCATCAGACAGACCAGTTCGAGCAATATCAATTTAAAAACTTTTAACGGAGCTCGTTGTGTAATAATCTTAGACAAAACACATAATAATCAGACTCAGAAGAAATTTAAAGTTCATACCTTTCTTCAAAGGTTTCGTGGCCTTGATCACAGCAGGTGCTGTTTCAACCTGAAAATACGAAACACAAAACAGATTCGTTAAGTTTGTGGGACAATCAGGAACAGAGGTTCGATACAGAGTAAGCAGAAGAACATAACAGAGAACAAAACTCAGGAAGGAGAAGAAGATTACTTTGGTGGCGGACTTCTTTCCGGACTTGCCCATGGAGAATTTGAGAAGAAGCGACTGCTAGGTTTAGATTGGAGAGAGGCAAAAACCCTAGACAGCTGCGTAAGATATTTTTCAGTTTAGGGTTTTAGGAAGATGTATTTATAATCTTTTTGATTCTCGTTTGGGGTCAAATGGTCTTTTGCTGTTTATCCATCTAATGGCTGTCTCTTCGCGCGTGTTATTTCATCTATACCGTCCACGTGGCAGAAGCCTTATTTCCTGTTTTTATGGAAAATATATTTTTTTATTAAGTGGCAACGGTTGGAAATAGTTAGGTCAAAGCGGAGTACCGCGCATCCTTCTCTAAAATGGGCTCAGTTTGGTGGGCTTTTAGTACGATGGACTTTTTGTGGGAACTTTTTTTGGGTCGACTTGTGGGAACATAATCTCTCTTATTTTCATGAGCCATTTTTATTAATTGAAACATTTCAGAAAGATATAACGCCTACTTCATTTTTATTTATTTATTTCCAACAAATACAAGAGCTACTAAAAGCTTAACTGTTTTGTTCATACGTAAAATATATTCTGTATATTTATAATAATTGGATGGTCCAGTAACAAGTTAAGTTAGTCATCATAATGTTAACTAGATTCTAACCTCGTGCATCCGCACAAGAATATTTTTTTATTGTTTAACGAATTTTGTAATATAATTTATGTTTTTCAGTTTAGATATAATTATTTTTATAAATATATTTTTTAATAAGTGAAAATATTGATTTTTGTGTTTAGATATATTTTTATAATATTAAAATTAATTATGATTATAAAAATATAATTTTAACCCATCCGCTAATATTAATTCAAAATGAACTATTATAAAAACATAATTCTAATTTTTCCGTTCATATTACGATATAATATAAATATTTGTTAAAAGTTTGAGATGTAAGTATTATTTAGCATTAAAGTTTTCTAAAAAATTTTCAACGAAGAGAGTGTACAACTGGTTTTTCAAACCACAATTATAATGTATGCAATAATTTTTAATTTTTTTATGTTTTGATTTTCTATGAAAAATATATTTTCGATATACATGTATAATTCAAAATTAGTGATATTAGTTACCAAAATATTTTTAACCCGGTTTTTTATATATATTTTTAGTTCTATGAATTTTAAAAAATATATTTTTAATATTTCAATTATACATTTGAATTTTACCTATTATTTTATTATTAATTTGTAAATAAATCATAATCGTAAATATATTATATAAACAACATAAATATCATATCATTTACATCATTATAAATATTTTATATTTCAAATATGACCATTATTTTTCATATGTGAATATTTTTTTTTCCAAAAATTTTAGATATTTTTGATAAAAATGTTTAATAGTATAGAAATTATTTAAATTAGAATCTTTAAATCAAATCTAAATTAATATCTGATTTATTATTTTTAATCAAATCAAATCAAATCTAAATTACCTATATTTAAGGAACTCTAAAAATATTTTAATTAATAACTAATTTTCGAAATTAAATATAAATAATTATTAAAATTATTTTTAAACACTTAAAAAAATTAGGAGTGTTTGGAAGCAAGTACTAAATGTGCTTCTGTTTTAATATAATAGATGGATTTAAAAATGATTTGTGTAATTTACTGGTTCAACTGTTGTTTTTGAGGACCGGGTCAACGTTTTTAAATATGTGATGCGGTACATATATCATGTTTTTTTTTTGTAAGTATTTACGTCAACTACCAAATGGTTTTACTCTGTTTAAGTGTATACTATAAAATTATATATTTGTAAATTTAAAGATTTCAAAATGCAAAATGAAACAGTTATTGTTTCTGGCTAGCCTAGGATTCCTTCGCTTTCATGTTTAGATCTTTTCTATGGAATGCGTAACGTAAAAATAATGATTTTGTAGTTTTTAATATTTTCTATATTTTCTATGTTCTTAAACCTTCACCTCGTTTTTTCTGTGTTCTGACTCTATAAAAGATGAATATATTAAGTTAGAGGTGGCCCCTATGCGTGATTGAAGACGACCGGTCTAAGGTCGGAGACGACGGTTACGTTGTTGTAGATGACGACATATCTGAGGTTGGAAGAAAGCTTCAGAAACCGAACTAGATATAAACTTTCTTGAAAAGTAACGACGTAGATGCAATTAAGGATATGTACTTTTAGAGGATCGTTAATTAGATAGTGTTACAGGAAAAAAAAAAGCAATAACATGTAATTTTTTTGTGATGAAACCAAACACTAATCTACATGTATGGACCAACATTTTTATATATTGTGAACGCCATTAAACATATATTTATAACATAAAAATGTAATAGATTCATTTATACACAAAAACCTCATCAAAGACATGGATACTGAGAGGTGAAACACTAGACTAAACATACCTTTGTTACAAAAAAAAAACACTAAACTAAAACCAAACCAACACAACATGCTTCTAGTCTTTTCTCATGATTATTCTGATGACCCATGTTAATAAAGATACGACTTCAATGTTTGGTAGTTGCCAGGATAGTTCTGATGTCGTCGGCGACGGACACAGCATCCTGAGCGGCTCCGGCGATTCCCTTCCTCGAAAATCCAGCACAGTAGAGATTCTTCTCTCCTTTCCAATGCTTTGGCGTTGGTTTTTTGGGGAAGCCATCTTCCTTCATCACGTACTCATAGTTCTGTACGTATCCATAATTTCACAAAACACAACATTAGTTGTCATATAGTTACTAAATCGGTTCATTAAAACCGGTTTTAATTTGTTTTGAGTAGTATCTTTATGTTATATAATAATATACCTTTAACCAATTGCAGACGGAGCTTTTGTAACCAGTCGCAAACACAATCGCATCGAAATCTTGTTTCATCCCATTTTCGAACGTCAAGGTTTTGCCTGAGATGCTTCCTATGCCACCATTGATAACCTAATATTGCAATATTTGTTTGTTAATAATGTTGATTTTATGTATAATTAAATTGAAAATTTCTTTTTGACTAATGTGGAAATTCAACTATTTTCCTAAGTAAAAGATTTTCACTCTTGTGATATGAAAATAAAGAAAATGTAAAAAAATGAAATCGTTATGTATTGAAAGCCAAGGTTCCTCGTTTGGAAAAATATATACAGAAATGACAATTTATATACTCATAATTCATTTTTCATACTTATAAATTAAGCTTTTTGTTTTACTTAATACATATTTTTAATATTAAATATATATTTTAAAATTAATTGAATAAGTAATTGAAGATGGAAAATTGACGGACTGTGAAAGGTACCTGAATCTCGCCGTCGCGAATCTTTTGGACAGTTCCGACATCAATGACAGGAGATTTTCCGGTAAAGAGTTTGGTGGCGAAAGGACCTTGTTTTGGTCGGAAGAGCCCGAGCTTGGAGACATCTCCGTACACTAACATTCTTGCCATAGCCGCCACCATCACCACTTTGTCAACCATCGTCACCGGAAAATACTTCAGCAATGACATCCCCAAGTATACCTCTTCTTTCGTTAACACGTGTCTCTGCACAAATTTACATCCCCAAGTATACCTCTTCTTTCGTTAACAACAACAAAAATGAATAGAACAGTGAACCTTAAAAAAAAAAAGAGGAAATGATATATGACCAACTGTAAATGAACAAGAACAACAACAAAACCATCATTTTGATTTTTGAAATTTTTTGAAGATATTAATAAAAGAATTCATTTACTAGCCAAAGGACAAAGCAATCTCATATGATACTATATAGAGCTCAAAACTTAATAATGTAAAGGAGTTTTTAACCATGAAGGGACAAAAAAGCTATGATCACATTGAGAGGTATTTTAAGAAGTAATTTTGGAAAAAAATCATGTATAGATATTATAATATCTACATGCAAGACAATTGTGCATCTTTAACGTTCATGCATACAGAAAAGTAATTAATAATTAAAATACAAGAGCAACATTAATCAACTACTTACCGGAGTTCTAATGAGAACGGCCGTATTAGCTTCGAAGTTGCAAAGATCAAAACTAATCTCCATACCAGAATTTCCACCTCCGACCACAAGAACATTTTTACCTCTAAAATCACGCCCGGACTTATACTGACTCGAATGCACAATCTCTCCGGGGAAAGTTTCAATCCCTCTGACCGCCGGAATATTCCCATCTCCGTTCTCTCCGGTCGCAACCACCAGAAACTCCGACCAATACACCTCGGTTTCTCTGGTCACCGTGTTTTCCGCCTCGACCCTCCACTTGTTTTTGGACACATCGAAGGTTGAAAACTTGACGGTGCGGTTGTATCTAGGGTTTATGTCGAAACGGGTAACGTAAGAGTCAAGGTAGTCGACGAAAAGGTTTTTGGGCATAAAGGTTGGAACATCGGGACCGTGTGGCATGAAAGGTAGCTGGCAAAAATCTTTGGCTAAGTGAAGTTTGAGACGATCGTAGGCTCGTTTCTTCCAAAGTGATGCATAGATGTCTTCTCTCTCGAGGATCACGTTTGGAATTGAGTGTTGGTTTAGACAAACCGATGTTGCTAAACCGGCTGGTCCAGCTCCCACTATCAGCACTACGGTCTCCATATAGGTATCTCGTGTTTAATTTTGATAGATTCTCTCTTGTGTGTTGAACGATGGTTACTGTGAGTTCTTCGTTTTATTGTTGTTGTTATATATAGAGGATGAGGAATTGGGGATCTATGAGTGAAAGATGTTGAAAATGAAGCCAAAGGTAAAAATGTGAAAATGATGAATTATGGAATCTTGAATACATATTCGCCATTTGTAAGCCAGTGAAAAATGGCATTTATGAGTGCTAGATTTTGTTGACTATTTTGGAACTATTTAAGCAAGTGAGGGATGTGCATGAGTTCGGTTAAAACACGTCTAGCATAATGTTAAAACAAAATATAAGGCAAAAAAACTTAACCATATAATTACGTTCCACGTGGCTTTTTGAATGGTAAACTGGCAGAGAGGATGTACGATCATCATGTATTTCTGTTTTGAGTCCAGATTCTTATACACCTCGATTCATATTGAATATTTGGCTACGATCTTACTATACTTGCTTAAAGATGATATATAATGTATATTTATTGTGATATCACGTGTCAAATACAGCTCAATACATGTTCTGATTTTATGAAAGGGAACCTTTTTTCCCAAATATACATATGAACTACCCTATCACGTATCAAAGTATAGAACTGAAACTAATAGGTACTAAGAAATAACAATTTTTTAGGTTCAAAAACAAAGAAAAAACAATTATAAAAATTTATAGACCCAAACACCCATTTTTAATTAATTTCAATGAACTTGGGTGTCAACTTAGTTATAAAATTACTGCAATCATCTTAATTAAATTTAAACATCCTGCAATTTCAATTGCACTTAGTGATTTTTTCAAATTTTTTATAAAAACTAATATTAGTATCTGGTCATATGTATGTATATATACATTCTTTTATTTAACGTTTACGGCCATTTCGTTAATTACTTTCATCCTAGCGTTAAGCTAAATGGACAATGGTCAGTAGTTCAGTGACACATGTTATGTAACCTTATCTTCGATTCTCGTATTAATTATTTCCGGAAGTTTATAAAATACTGTATCTAAATGAATTAAATAAGAAAATTCTGAAGTGATTAAATATAAATTTTTCATATTAATTAGGTGACACATATTTTGTTAAAAAATAATTAGGGGGGACATATTTTAGATAAAAAGAAAAGAAAGTAGTGACACATATTGATTTACTATACACGTTGTATATTTACGTGTACATTTCTTTTTTGGTTTAAGCTTACGTGTACATGTTATTATTGGATCTCCAAATTTTGCATGTATCCAAACAGATGGTTTCTTCGTATGTCAAAGCAAGACCGTTGAACACTTATCGGCTTTCACCAAAAAAACAAAAAACACTTATCGGTTTACTGTATTTGTATTTAAGAGATTAGTACTGACATTTTTTTTTACGATCTAGCTACTTTTGGATATACGAAATGCATTTTCCGTTAATTCTACGTTTGCAATTGCATGATTTGCATATTTTTACGGTCAAACCAAGATAAATTGCATGATTTGCATATTTTCGGATAAATGTCACTGTTTGAGTGCATCAGTGGCGCCCTAAATTATTTTGTTTTGGCTTTTATGAAAATGGAAACGGTAAATAAATTAATAATAACACTAAAATAAATAACGATATATTTTTAATGTAAATAACGATATTTATGAATCTCGCTTTTTTCCAGCAAATTTGATCATACTTAACTCAGACGTTTTGATTCGAAACGAATGAAAATTTGATTTGCCGTTTCTGGTTAGTTGCTCAATTATAAAACATTGAATTTTGGCATGAGATCTTTTGACAAAAAAAATTATTTCGATTATTGCGGAAGGTTAAATTTTGGATGATGGCGAGGTAAAGTTCCAGGTTGAGAGTTTAGTTTCTAATTTTGCTGATTTATTATTTATTGAGATTCATTTATTATTTATGTTTTTTTTGTTATTTTATCTATTTATAATAGTTAAAAAGTTAAAACAAACTTAATCGAAACAAAAAACTCGATTTGTCGTTCGTTCTTAAACGTTAAAAAGATTCAATTTGTCGTTTGTTCATAAACGTCAAAACAAGAATATTTGATTTGTCGTTTGTTCTTAAACGACTAATTGATGGAAAACAACTTTTGGTTCCATAGCTTGTGAAAAAATTATGTTAGCTACTACAAAAAGTTATACTTTGGATAATGGAGATTTAAAGTATCTGACCGAAGATTTATTGTTTATTTTTTTTATGATTTTTTTATTTTAGAATTGTTCATGATTTGTTTTGTAATTTTTTACCTTTCTTATATACATTAAATATTAAAAACACTAAAAATGAAAATTTGATAACTATTAAAAAATCAATTAATCGAAACAAAAAGATTCTATTTGTCATTTGTTCTTAAACGTCAAAAGAAAAAGATTCAATTTGTCGTTTGTTCTTAAACGTCAAAACTAAAAGATTTGATTTGTCATTAGTTCTTAAACCACTAAATTGTTGGAAAACAACTTTTGGTTCCATATCTTGTAACAAAATTATGTTAGCTATTACAAAAAGTTATACTTTGGATAATGGAGATTTAAAGTATATGACTGAAGATTTATCATTTATTTTATTTTTATGATTTCTTTATTTTAGAATTGCTCATGATTTGTTTTGTAATTTTTTTCTTTTCTTATATACATTAAATATTAAAAACACTAAAAATGAAAATTTGATAACTATTAAAAAAGCAATTAATCGAAACAAAAAGACTCGATTTGTCATTCGTTCGTAAATGTCAAAAGAAAAAGATTCAATTTGTCGTTTGTTCTTAAAAGTCAAAATTAAAAGATTTAATTTGTTGTTTGTTCTTAAACGACTAAATTGTTGGAAAACAACTTTTGGTTCTATATCTTAGCTATTAAAAAAAGTTATACTTTGGATAATGGAGATTTAAAGTATCTAACTGAAGAATTATCGTTTATTTTATTTTTATAATTTTTTATTTTAGAATTGTTCATGATCTGTTTTGTAATATTTTTGCTTTTCTTATATACATTAAATATTAAAAACACTAAAAATAAAAATTTGATAACTATTAAAAAATCAATTAATTGAAACAAAAAGACTCGATTTGTCATTGTCATTTTCGTTTGTTCTTAAACGTCAAAACAAAAAGATTTGATTTGTCGTTTGTTCTTAAACGACTAAATTGTTGGAAAATAACTTTTGGTTCCATATCTTGTGACAAAGTTATGTTAGCTATTATAAAAAGTTATACTTTAGATAATGGAGATTTAAAGTATCTGACTGAAAATTTATCGTTTATTTTATTTTTATGATTTTTTTTTATTTTAGAATTGTTCATGATTTGTTTTGTAATTTTTTGCTTTTCTTATATACATTAAATATTAAAATCACTAAAAATAAAAATTTGATAACTATTAAAAAATCAATTAATCAAAACAAAAAGACTGGATTTGTCATTCGTTCTTAAACGTCAAAAAAAAAGATTCAATTTGTCGTTTGTTCTTAAACGTCAAAACAAAAAGATTTGATTTGTCGTTTGTTCTTAAACGATTAAATTGTTTGAAAATAACTTTTGATTCCATATCTTGTGACAAAATTATGTTAGCTATTACAAAAATTTGTATTTTGGATAATGGAGATTTAAAGTATCTGACTGAAGATTAATAGTTTATTTTATTTTAATGATTTTTTATTCTAAAATTGTTCATGATTTGTTTTGTAATTTTTTTGCTTTTCTTATATACATTAAATATTAAAACACTAAAAATAAAAATTTGATAACTATTAAAAAATCAATTTCTCATTTGTAGGTAACAATCAAAATATTTAAAATTGACTTTTGGTTTGAAATCCAGTGACAATGTGTGTTGGGTTTTGGGATTGGTTAAATTTTGGATTACCGCAATTTAAAGTCTCATGAGGGTTAGTCTTCTAAAAAGATGAGAAATGCTGAAATGTTTTTGTTTAAAATTTTTTGAATGTTAAATTTTATACCAAATTTTCAATTTTTTTTACAGATGATACAGAGATACAACGAAGAAAGAAGAAAGCCAAAATCTACCGACGAACAAAAAACAATAAATAAACAACAAAAACACAAAAAGCTAAGAAACCGGCAAGCAAGACAAATAAATTAAAATTTGAAACCAAACAAGATGAGAAAGCAGCAATCACGTGCCAAGGCATGGACCATCCCATTTTTTGTTTAAGGTTTTTTTTTTACTTATTTTTTCTTTTGTAATTGTAATTTCTATCTGCTTTTATTAATTAAAAAGTAATAACTAGAATATTTTATTAGAACAAATATATATATTCGATTCGTCTTTTTGTAATTAACAATCAAATTTCTAAATAGAATTTTGTCTTATGAAAAAAGTTGTGTCAGCTATTACGAAATTATATTTCAGATGATAGCAATCTGAAATATAATGTGAAATATAATGAGTCTATTAATCATCCCGAGTTTGGTGTATGAAATATTAAACTAGAATTCTTTTAATCATAACATATGAAGATTTTGAGTCTTTTTAAGTGGATAATATCCAAATATAAAATGAGTGTGTTTTATGTATAACTATGGTTTTTTTGGAAAAATGGTGGTGAAAAAAAGAGAACAAATTAATTTTGCCAGCTAATTTTTAGTTAGGCTATTGACAATGGAGCGCCCAAAATCTGCACACATGTTTGTTGTTATGGTTAGTGTTGTTGTTATGGAGCTGTGTTAATTGCAATTTGGTCATAACTAAAAGTTTTTTTTTTTTGAAACATAACATATGATAATTTGATTTATCCTTTGTAGGTAACAAACCACTTTCACAATGATGTATGAAGATATGAATAAATATAGTGATTAAGTATCACTTTGTAATTAAAAGAGAGATTCAATGAAGTAACAGTTCAATTTGCGAGCTATTTTTTTTTATTCAGCTTTTTAGGTTGTTATAAAACACCACAAATTGGATGCCTAAATCTGAATACATGTTTGTTGTTGTGGTCAGAGTTGTTGAGTTGTAGTAACTACAGTTTGGTTACAATTAAAACAAGGATATATTTTGGAACAAAACATAGGAAAATTCGATTTATCATTTGTAAGTAACAATCAAATTTCATAATAATGTCTAAATATATGAATAAATACAGTGATTAAGTATCACTTTGTAATAATCCTAAATAAACCTTGTGGATTACAAAACTGCCTTTGCACTCCCTTAGAAATAGATCTAAGTTTTGACAAAAAAAAATAAAAGAAATAAACCTGAGTCTCCAAATCTTTTAAACAGTTAAAGTAAATATAAATTCTCACTTAATAGTGTCAAGCAAATGTTATTTAATACAGTTTTGCACACTTTTAAGCTTGCCAGAGAATAGTAAAATTTAGTTGCAGTTCAATATTAGAATATGTAGGTTTGTCAAAGGACAAAGATAATCATATCAGATTAGGAAAATCAAGAAATGAGTTAATATAAACTGGGTGAGGTGGCCCATTGAACTTGTTGAGCGTCTTTAAACCCATCAGTTTCGATATGCTTCGCCTCTGTTCCTAACCGGTTTACGAATTAGATATTACAGATCCTCGGATCAAAGCGTCGAATTCTCTTGTCTCAATCCAATCTCTGATCAAAACCCTAATTCCCCAACTCCGATTCTTTTTCCTTTTTGATTGATTGATTGATCGTCGTTGAATACTCAAAGCAGCGAAGATGGTTTTAGGAGAGCTTTGCGGGCAGATTACCCGCGCCTTGCAGCAGATGAGCAATGTGACAATTATCGATGAGAAGGCTCTGAATGATTGCTTGAACGAGATCACACGAGCTCTTCTCCAGTCCGATGTTTCTTTCGCTCTTGTGAGGGAGATGCAGAGCAATATCAAGAAGATCGTCAATCTCGAGGAGCTAGCAACCGGCCACAACAAGCGACGGATCATTGAGCAGGTTTAATTCGTTATCGATTTTCTTCGATTTTGATGAAATATGGCTAATTCTTCCATTGGATTGCTCCTGATTCTCTCGTATTGTTTATCTCAGGCTATTTTTACTGAACTCTGTAAGATGTTGGATCCAGGAAAGCCTGCCTTTGCCCCCAAAAAGGCAAAAGCAAGTGTAGTTATGTTCGTCGGATTAAAAGGTTAGGTTTTTGTAAGTTGTTCTTGGTGTTTGATTGAGTTTGTTTCTATTTTGTAGATAGATTGTATGCTGATACTTTTAGGGCCGGTGCTTTCGATCAGCTGAAACAGAATGCCACCAAGGCTAGGATCCCCTTTTATGGAAGGTACTCAAAGCAACCACCTTTGCCATGAAATGACGTCTTATTCTTTGTTTGAAGATTTATATCTTAGTGTCAGCTTTCTTCTTGCATGGTCGTAAGACCTTTGGTGCTTGTATTTCCAATAGAATAGTAGCTCATATGCAGAGTATGTGAATTTTCTTTGCGACGGTAGAGGCAAGGTACAAAATTTCTGAACTTTTTTGGCTTAGACTCTGAGTCTGAGGTTTGGTATAGGCCAGTGCAAAAATCTGCACTGAAAAGGATTACGGTTACTTAAAATGTTTCTTTTTCCATCATCCAGTAGGTTTCGTCATACTTCTCCAGTTCTCTACGAGCCACTTACCTTTAGGAGTTTCTTTGAGCCCTTTTGTCTGTTTTTTCTTGCTCCTTTTTTTACGAATAAGAAAAATTCCTTTTTAATATATGTTAAAACTCGTTTTTGATATCTTTTTATAATCCCAATTAGCATCCGCGACGCAAAACTAGAGCAAGGGTTTTTTTTCGTCATCACTGGAAAACACACGGCGGCGCGATGTCTAAGCTGCTCCCAGTTGAGAATTCTGAGGTACGGTGGATTTTTGATTGGCTTGTGAGATTCTCGTATCAAAAAATCAAATTGTTTACGACATCTGACTTTCTCGCCTGCAACAGGATGTCGGTAGAAGAAACAACGGAGAATCCTGCCGGAAAGAGCTGAAGAAGGAGACACGTCTCGCCATCTCCGCAAAGAAAGACGAGGATTTTGGGAAGTGGTATTCTGAGGTATCCCTCGCTCATCCCAGATTCTTGTTTTTATCCAAAACCCACATCTGATTTTTCACTCTCTCCCCAGGTTTGTAGACGAACTAACATAATGAGCCACTACAATATAAGCGGCTGCTACATTCTCAATCCATCTGCAATGAAGGTTTTAGAAGTTAATCCGAGTGAGTTCTCTGAACAAAGTCCTTTTCTTTTTGGTTTTGATATGATCCTCCCAAGGATCAGCACTCTAAAGTTGGTATAAATTTGTCTCAATGAAACCATGAAGTCTCAATGAACAAGGGTGTGGAGCGAATGGTGACACAAGAGGTGCGGAAAACTCTTGATTTACCGGTGGATTGGGTGAGACTTCTAAGAGATGCGGAATGGCTCTTAGACTCTCAAGGATAGCTTTTTGTAAGGAGTATAAATCCAAATACAATAAGCAAGTGGGTGGATTGAATGAAACTTCTAAAAGATGTGGAATGGCTCTTAGACTTTCAAGGAATGCTTCTCTAAGGAGTTTGAATCCAAAATATTCATCAAAGTCTTATTTTTTTATTCAGCAAAGTAGGCTCTATAAATAGAGGAAATACATGATAAAAACGTCCATAAATGTATCTCAATATGCAGAGAATCTAGGAAAATGAAATTCAAACTTTACAGTGCTTGTAAGAGAGAGAAATAGGCAGAATTAAATGCAGTCTTTAACATGGACGAAATTTGATCTTCTTTGCTTCTTTTTGGGCTGATCCACTTTGCTGGGCTTCTAAAATGGACCAAGATTATAGAACAACTTGGTTTGTAGCTTAATTCATATTGGTTTGGTCGGAATCCTTCATTGAATGCTCGTAGGTCCGAAATGCGTAAGCTGGAGAACACCTGTTTTGTAAATTGAATAACTCTTTCGTCTGAACTCCGTTTGATATGATTCTTCTTCCAGGAGCTTTGTAATTGAACTGATCATATTCTCCAGGTTGTTTCATGCGTTCAATCGTCGTGGTTAAGAAGATACGCTTCGAACACTGAACACATGTCGTGATGCTTCCCATGATCATATCATCCTCTCCCTCTTAAAAAAAGATTTGTCCTCAAATCTTGTTCTTCATAGAAAGAACAACTTGAAAACAAACTTTACAACACAAATAATCAAGAAGATGAATGAGAAGAAATCATTTTTTTGTTTTTCTTTTTTTTTTCGTTTTTTTGTGTTTTCTTTTTTTTTTCTCTCTTTTTCTTTTCCTTTTTTTTGACGAAAATAAATTAAAAGAAAACAGAAATAAAATAAAATAAAATAAAAGAAGATGAAAAGATAGAAGATGAAAGAAAGAAGATGAAAAGATGAGAAAATGAAAAGAAGAAAATGGAATAGAAATAGATGCCAAACTTTAGAGTGTGCTTTGATACCACTTGATATGATCCTCCCAAGGATCGGCACTCTAAAGTTGGTAAAGAGGATAACCTTGTCTCAATGAAACCATGAAGTCTCAATGAACAAGGGTGTGGAGCGAATGGTGACACAAGAGGTGCGGAAAACTCTTGATTTACCGGTGGATTGGGTTTCGACTTCTAAGAGATGCGAAATGGCTCTTAGACTCTAAGGATAGCTTTTGTAAGGAGTATAAATCCAAATACAATAAGCAAGTGGGTGGATTGAATGAAACTTCTAAAAGATGTGGAATGGCTCTTAGACTTTCAAGGAATGCTTCTCTAAGGAGTTTGAATCCAAAATATTCATCAAAGTCTTATTTTTTTATTCAGCAAAGTAGGCTCTATAAATAGAGTCTATAAATAGAGGAAATACATGATAAAAACGTCCATAAATGTATCTCAATATGCAGAGAATCTAGGAAAATGAAATTCAAACTTTACAGTGCTTGTAAGAGAGAGAAATAGGCAGAATTAAATGCAGTTTTTAACATGGACGAAATTTGATCTTCTTTGCTTCTTTTTGGGCTGATCCACTTTGCTGGGCTTCTAAAATGGACCAAGATTATAGAACAACTTGGTTTGTAGCTTAATTCATATTGGTTTGGTCGGAATCCTTCATTGAATGCCCGTAGGTCCGAAATGCGTAAGCTGGAGAACACCTGTTTTGTAAATTGAATAACTCTTTCGTCTGAACTCTGTTTGATATGATTCTTCTTCCAGGAGCTTTGTAATTGAACTGATCATATTCTCCAGGTTGTTTCATGCGTTCAATCGTCGTGGTTAAGAAGATACGCTTCGAACACTGAACACATGTCGTGATGCTTCCCATGATCATATCATCCTCTCCCTTTTAAAAAAAGATTTGTCCTCAAATCTTGTTCTTCATAGAAAGAACAACTTGAAAACAAACTTTACAACACAAATGATCAAGAAGATGAATGAGAAGAAATCATTTTTTTGTTTTTCTTTTTTTTTCGTTTTTTTGTGTGTTTCCTTTTTTTTTTCTCTCTTTTTCTTTTCCTTTTTTTTGACGAAAATAAATTAAAAGAAAACAGAAATAAAATAAAATAAAATAAAAGAAGATGAAAAGATAGAAGATGAAAGAAAGAAGATGAAAAGATGAGAAAATGAAAAGAAGAAAATGGAATAGAAATAGATGCCAAACTTTAGAGTGTGCTTTGATACCACTTGATATGATCCTCCCAAGGATCGGCACTCTAAAGTTGGTAAAGAGGATAACCTTGTCTCAATGAAACCATGAAGTCTCAATGAACAAGGGTGTGGAGCGAATGGTGACACAAGAGGTGCGGAAAACTCTTGATTTACCGGTGGATTGGGTGAGACTTCTAAGAGATGCGGAATGGCTCTTAGACTCTCAAGGATAGCTTTTGTAAGGAGTATAAATCCAAATACAATAAGCAAGTGGGTGGATTGAATGAAACTTCTAAGAGATGTGGAATGGCTCTTAGACTTTCAAGGAATGCTTCTATAAGGAGTTTGAATCCAAAAATATTCATCAAAGTCTTATTTTTTTATTCAGCAAAATAGGCTCTATAAATAGAGGAAATACATGATAAAAACGTCCATAAAAGTATCTCAACATGCAGAGAATCTAGGAAAATGAAATTCAAACTTTACAGTGCTTGTAAGAGAGAAAAATAGACAGAATTAAATGCAGTCTTTAACATGGACGAAATTTGATCTTCTTTGCTTCTTTTTGGGCTGATCCACTTTGCTGGGCTTCTATAATGGACCAAGATTATAGAACAACTTGGTTTGTATCTTGGTTTGGTCGGAATCCTTCATTGAATGCCCGTAGGTCCGAAACGCCTAAGCTGGAGAACACCTGTTTTGTAAATTGAATAACTCTTTCGTCTGAACTCCGTTTGATATGATTCTTCTTCCAGGAGCTTTGTAATTGAACTGATCATATTCTCCAGGTTGTTTCATGCGTTCAATCGTCGTGGTTAAGAAGATACGCTTCGAACACTGAACACATGTCGTGATGCTTCCCATGATCATATCATCTATGGGAAGCATCAGGACATATTCTGAGGCATCCTTCGCTCATCCCAGATTCTTGTTTTTATCCAAAACCCACATCTGATTTTTCACTCTCTCCCCAGGTTTGTAGACGAACTAACATAATGGGCCACTACGATATAAGCGGCTGCTACATTCTCAATCCATCCGCAATGAAGGTTTGGAAGTTAATCCGAGTGAGTTCTCTGAACAAAGTCCTTTTCTTTTTGGTTTATAGCTCGAATGGGTCATTTTTGTTAAATGCTGCCATTTTCGCTCTTTGTAGGCTTTCTTTGATGCCGAAATTGAGAAGATGGACGTGGAGGAATACTGTTTCCCTATGTTTGTATCACCTGCTTGTCTTGAGAAAGAGAAGGACCACATCGAAGGATTTTCTCCCGAGGTTGCTTAAGTTACGAGAGCTGGTGATTCTGAGCTGCCTACCCAAATTGCTATACGCCCAACCAGTGAAACCGCCATCTACCCTTACTTTAGCAAATGGATTAGAGGGCACAGGGATCTCCCATTGAAGCTTAACCAATGGGTTAACGTAGTGAGATGGGAGTTTAGCGACCCTGTTCCATTTATCAGGTATCTTATCTTTGTTGTATATGATTTCTTCTTCTTTATTTTTTTAACCTCTTACCCGCTCTTTTCTCTTCTGACCGCTAATTCAATCCAATCCAATCCGCAGGAGCCGTGAGTTCCTTTGGCAGGAAGGGCACACTGCTTTCGCCACCAAAAGCGAGGCAGATAAAGAGGTAACTTGCTCTTATATACAATATAGCATTGCTTTCTTTCCCCAAATAGATAAAGAGGCCTAATCCTTGCATTCCAATCGCATCTCTCTGCACGCAGGTGTTTGATATTTTGCAAATCTACTCGGACGTTTACGAGAAGCTCCTTGCGGTCCCTGTCATCAAAGGTATGAAGAGTGAGAACGAAAAGTTTGCCGGTGGGCTTTACACCTCCAGCGTCGAGGCTTTCATTCCAGCCGCTGGCCGTGGTGTACAAGCTGCAACCTCACATTGTTTGGGACAAAACTTTGCAAAGATGTTTGACATCTCTTTTGAAGACAAGGAGGGGCATAGATCATTGGTGTGGCAGAACTCGTGGGGTCTCAGTACCAGATCGGTAATTTACAGCCTCTTGAGTTGATGTTTTACTTCTTCTTTTTCTTTTTCTTTTTCTTCCCTCTCTAATCACCAACCTTGCTCTAGATTGGAGTGATGATTATGACACACGGGGATGACAAAGGTTTGGTTTTCCCTCCTCTGGTCGCACCTGTTCAAGTTGTCGTGATCCCAGTTCCTTTCAGTGGTGTTGATACTAAAATCATCTATGAGGCATGCGAAGCTGTTAAATCCACCTTGCTCGAGGCTGGAATCCGTGCTAAAGCAGATACACGCGACAACTATGCTTGCGGCTGGAAGTATTCAGACTGGGAGCAAAAGGGCGTTCCATTGAGAATCGAAATTGGTCCCAGGGACTTGGCTAAGAATCAGGTGAGAATAGTGAGGCGTGACAATGGCGCCAAGGCAGATCTCTCGAGAGAAGGCTTGATTGAACAAGTTAAGGACTTGCTCGGCAAAATCCAGGAAAACCTCTTTGATGCGGCTAAGAGAAAGGTGGATGCATGCACTCAAAAGGTTGAAACTTGGGACGATTTCATGGAAGCACTCAACCAGAAGAAACTGATCCTGGCTCCCTGGTGTGATGAAGTTGAAGTGGAGAGGCTTGTGAAGGAGCATACCAAAACAGAAACAGCAGCAGCAACAGCCAAGACTCTATGCACTCCCCTTGAGCAGCCTGAACTCAACGAAGGTTTATAGCGACACATTCCTTGCTTGTTTAAATTAGTCAGTAATATGACAAGTTTATTCTTTGATTAATCTCTTGAGATTCCCTTTCAGGCACCCTATGCTTTGCATCCGGAAAGCCCGCGAAGAAGTGGAGCTACTGGGGCAGGAGTTACTGAGCTTGGGTTACAACACATTGTGCTGTGCTATTGCAGCCACCTGCGTATTTTATGTGTTGTGCTTTATAAACTTCTTATGAAGCTCTGTTTGCTGTTTGCCCCAGACTGGGGTCAAAGAGTAGGCCTCGTTAAACTATTATGTTATTGCTACTTTTTCTTTTATGTAAGTTATATCTATGTGTTTGGTGGAACCTCCTTATTCAGTTAAACTATTATGTTATTGCTACTTTTTCTTTATGTAAGTTATATCTGTGTGTTTGGTGGAACCTCCTTATTCAGTCCGATAACTAGTGATTTACTGTATGATTCATATTGGTTATTGCACCACGATCATTAAGAATTTTTTTAAAAAAGCCCGCCGTGCTATAATAGTTTGATGACCCTATGCAACGTTTGGTGTCCATATTGCTCTTTTTTTTTTGCTAAAATTTCTGTAGTTATATTAATCTTAAGAGATGAGATTACATAGATGATTAAATAAAAAAGAAAAGAAGTGTCTTACATTGACGAGATGAACATATCCCGATACAAGATGAACATTAACGAGAAGAGTCTCGGAACCATAATGCAAGAGCATCAGCAAACCTTGGAATATGTCTTCTTGCAGACAGCCCCGATCCAACACTTATAAAAACTTTAGGGCAAAAAAAAAATTTAAGACCCTTTATAAAAATTTAACACCAAAAATCTGTATTTAAAAATCCTTTTAAAATAATATTTTTGTATGTGAACCTTTCTAAACAAAAATTTTCGATAAATATGGATTTTTTAAAGAGATTTTTGTCCAATACACAAATCTATTTTGTAAGGAAAAATTTTAAAAAAGATTCAGACCCATGGGCTGTCGCCCCTCTGCCCACCCTCTTTAGCCCGGGCCTGCTTACAGAGCAAGTGTTCCTTATTCCTCTATCAATCATCTTGAGCAGCCCAGCTACCGGAGTGTGAATTCCTCTATATATTTGCGCATTTCTCTGTTGCCACATAGAGTAAACAAGCCCATGCCTATGAACAAAGAAGAGAAACATTGGCCTATGGGCCCACTTTTTTTAAAAAAATTAAAAAGTCCAATTTATACTAATTGTTAACATTGTTAGTTATTAAAATTGAGATTTAGTTTGAAAGCAAAGACGTTTTTCTTTGATAGATTAGCAACTAAATTAGTAACACAATACAATATTAGAGCAACATATGTATTGATGCGATTGTAAACGGGGTATTGGTGCTTTTGTTTTACTAAGCTTTAGGTTTTAAATTTATAACCCATAAATGTCTGCAAGTGCACAGATGTGCTCTGTAGTACTTAGGGTATCGATCCACAGAGACTTAGCTGTTTCAGTACGAATTCACGACAATGCTTAAATCAGATTAGAACTAAACAGGTTTGGGTTTTGGTTGTCACTAAATTTAAACTAGAAAGCAAAGAAAACAAAAGCAATTGAAGGCAATTAAAACAAGTAAAAAGCGATTAAACCAAGGATAATGAAAGCAGGTAATAAGCGAATAAATCAAAGACAAATTGAAAGCAGGAAAAATCAAATAAGAAGCAAAGGTTGTAAGCAATGAAAGACAAACGTTGGGGCTCAAGGGGTTTCGTAGGGGTTCATGGACCAAGCTATGTCGATTTTAAGCATATGATAAAGGTAATCAACTACGTATGTTCTAGAACTCGAGGCACGGAAGTATGAATAGCCTACTTTCGCAGCACTAAACAACTATCTCTCGCAACCCTGATCAGTAGGTTTCCACTCTGATCCTGGAAGGGAGAAGATGGAATAGCAGAGCAAGACTCATCAACATTCACAACTCAACTACAGGTAGGTTTCCACTCCTATAGAAGAATTGCTCGTTTCACCCTAGTTCAGACAATCAATGAAAGCTTTCGCAATATATCATATCAGATCGGCTTCTAAGTGGCCAGCAAAGAATCACACAGTAAGATTAAAGGCAAACGAAGAACATCTAGAAGATTATAAATCCTAAATCTATCGATTCATAAGAAAAGACACATGAAATTCCCTTTGAACAATCCCTTTAAACCCAACTGGGTAACTACTCAAACATATTGTAACAAAGCATCATAAACGAAATTGAAAGTGCAGGAAATTAAAGAAAACAGGGAAGAAGAACGAAGAACGGAATCGCAGATGGAGGCGCGATGATGCTCTCCTAGGCGGCTCCTCCTTCAAAGGCGGCGGCTCCTAGGGTTTGTGAAGCACACGAACTCTCTCTCTCTCTCTCTCTCTAAGTGTTTCGTTTTATTCTTCTCTGCCTCTTTAGAATGACCTAAAGAGGGTATTTATAGCTTCTGGGGTGGTCCTGGACACTTAGGGCTTCAAAAATAACGAAAGGAATTGATCTGGACTTTAATTAAGTCGTCTGGAAAGTGAACGACCAAGTTCCGCGGTCGCGGTGGCTCTACCCGCGGGAAAACAGGTGTTGGCCGCGGTCCCGGCACATGACTCTCTTCTGGAACTGTATTTTCTGTCATTCTTGCATCGGGAGTATCTGAAGATCTAACCGTTGGATTGTCTCCAAACAAAGTGCATTAGAAAGCTGGTTGGATCCTCTATGTTGTCTCAAAGTTTGTGGGTGATCAGACGGTGAGAAGGTCTTCATCGCTTGTAATACTTCGGACGGTCTGCATTTATCCAAAATTGCTCATTTGTTCCAAATTGCATATCTTTTGCCCAAGTTTCCTGTAAAGTCTTTTGAAACTCTAAAACATTGAAAACACTTTAAAAACTATTGAAAACAGAGTTAAAACACCTGTATAAGATACAATTATGATCCATAAAAGTGGTCAAAATACGGTGTTATCAACTCCCCCAGACTTACCTTTTTGTTTGTCCTCAAACAAACTTAAGTCAGGAAAGAATTTTTTTGAAAATCGCAGGAACTAAACAATATCTCAGTGACCGTCCTTCTAAACCATAACTTATCGTGAAACATCTATTTGGATCTAGTCTAGAAAATTCTCACCAAAATACAAGCAAACTAGTCCGTTAATCCGTCATGCGAAAATCTACACACTTAGATCTAACTTCCAGTCAACTAGCTCTCTACATTCATTAAGTGTAATGGTGAGTTCTCATTAAAAACATTATTCAGGGTATACAGCGTTTGGTATTAAGGCTATATAAGTGGTGAAGCTTAAGTGTTTAGGGTTACCTGAAAAATATGGAGGATGCAAGATATTATGCAAAACCGCAAGAGAGAGAAGGACCTGTTGATGACCGCAGATTTTCAGTCACTTCTCCTTTGCCTAATTTTGTTGCATAATCTTCCTCCTTTGTTGTAAACAGATGTTCCCCCAGACTTAGATCTTTTCCGGGAATCATAAAGATAATCTCCAAAACTCTATATAATCGAACTCTAGCTTGCCTCAAGTATAAAATTCGATTCTCCTAGACTCTATAAGGTTTTTATTTCCTTATATATATATATATATTTTTTTTTTTCGTTTTTTTTTTTTCGTGAAGATAACCTTTTATAGAGAGAGAGTCTAAGGGACGAAATTGTACCAAGATTTTGAAGTTTTTACAAGGAAAGCTGAGTTTTCTCCTTTTGTTGAATCATTTCAATAAAATCGCAGGTCTCCGTCTTCAGTGACTGAAAATCGCGTTGATCCTTTTTCTCTCCGACGTTTTTGCACATATCTACATATAAGACAATGAAAAACAAGAGTGCATGTGGTTTGAAAGAGGTTAGGTTCGGTGGGGAACTAGCTAAAGATGAACTAGCCATTCAGGATCAACAAAGAGTGGTAAAAGGATAAATGAGTCATGAATGTATGATTCGTTTCCCTGATCTAATGGTTTAATGAGAAAATTAAGTCGAAATTAAGTCCAGATAAAATGAGCTAGTATATCCTGTCAGAAAGAATCTCCATGAATATAAGTTCTCTGGTGGAAAATTCGTAATGCAAGAACTTAGCTACCGCCTAATCTAGGCTTAAATCACAAAAGAGCAAAAAACGAGGAAATAGCGTAGAAGCACACTGGTCTAATTCATCATAGTATTGTTTATTGTGTTCCTGGTTTGAAAACTTTTTGAAAAACATTTTTGAAAACAGTTTTTGAAATTTTTTATGAAAAACGTTTTTGAAAAATTTTATGTGTCCAAAACAAACTCAAAACAAAACAAATTTCATTAGTAACGGATGAACATCCTCCCCCAGACTTATTTCACACTGTCCTCAGTGTGATAAATCTTGGAAAGAATGGTAAAGAAAATAGAAAATTTGAAATGTTTAAGAGTACTTATCGTGCTGGAGAGTGCTGCTCGTCTTTTTATTTGTTCTTCCTTATTGAAAGCCTGAAATTAAATGAAACAGAAACAAAGCAATGGAAATAAAAAATAAAGGTCAAAGGGAAATAGATAAAATACCAAGTGGGTTGCCTCCCACTAAGCGCTTGTTTCAAGTCATTAGCTTGACATTGTTGCTCGATTAGACTTAACCGGGGTCGTGACACTCCTTGATCTCATCATTGGCTGATGATGGATCAATCAAAAACATCACTTCTCTTTCGTCTTCTCTTTCTTTAGCCAGGTATGGCTTTACACGCTGTCCATTCACTGTAAACGAGTTTCCGGTTCTGTCCCACAGGACAATGGCTCCGTATGGCTTGACTTCCTTTATCGTGAAGGGTCCTGACCATCTTGAACGTAATTTTCCTGGAAAAAGCTTAAGACGAGAATTGAAAAGAAGAACTTTATCGTTAGGAGCAAAAGTTCTATGAATAATCTTCTTATCATGATATGCTTTAGTCTTCTCCTTGTAGATCTTTGAGTTTTCGTAGGCATTGTGTCGGATTTCTTCTAACTCGTGAAGTTGAAGTAGTCTTCTTTCTCCAGCTGTTTTCAGGTTCATGTTCATCTCCTTGATAGTCCATTGTGCCTTATACTCGAGCTCTATTGGAAGGTGACATGCTTTTCTATAAACTAAATTGAATGGTGTTGTTCCTAATGGCGTCTTGAATGCTGTTCGATATGCCCATAATGCGTCGTCAAGTTTGGTAGACCAATCCTTGCGATGAACTGCAGTTGTTTTCTGCAAAATCGACTTGATTTCTCTGTTTGAGATTTCCACTTGACCGCTGGTTTGGGGGTGGTATGGAGAAGCAACTTTATGTGTAACTCCATTCTTTCTAAGAAGATTCTCAAAAACTCTGTTGATGAAATGCGATCCTCCGTCGTTTATCACAATTCTAGGAACTCCAAAATGCGGGAATATAACAGATTTAAACATCTTCATGACGACTTTCGCATCATTGGTGGGACTGGCGACTGCTTCTACC